AAGCCTCCAGGTCCAGGACTTGAACCATGGTTGGCCATGTGGAAGTACAGCATCCTTAACCACCACGCCACCTGCCAGCCCCTCATTAATCCTCTTTTTTAAAAATTTGCTATGGGAGAGCCAAGCAGGTGGCATGGTGGTTAAAGTGTTGGACTCCCACATGGCCATCCACGATTCAAGTCCCAGACCTGGTAGCTTACTTTCTCACTATCTCTCTCTTGCTTTGTGTCTCTCTTGAGCACACATTCCTATGCCAAACTTAATAAAAAAAAAATAAATAAATAATTTTTTTAATTTAAAAAATGTTTGAGAGGCCATGTGCCCTCACTGGAGAGATATAGAGACAGAGACAGAGGGAATGTGAGAAATCATCCCCAAGGAAGGATGGCCATGCTGCAATCTCTTTTCCTCCATTCTCCTCTCAGGATTTTGGGTACTCATGCACATGCACCCTGTGTTTTCCAAGCCACTGGGTCTAGGACTTGATTTCCAAAGCCACTGGGTCTAGGACTTGAACCACACAGTTGGTCATGTGGGATCTAGCCACTTTAACCACTAGGCCACTGGTGGGCCCTCATTAATCCATAAGTACTTCATTCAGTAAGGAGCAGAGAGAGAGTAAGCATGTGGGAATGAGGTCCAACTTGGAAAGGATTTTTTTACTGTCAACTCTATGGGGTCCCTACAATAACAAATGTCATTAAACATTTGTAGAGGAGAAAGAGTCATAAGCATTGGAATGTATGTTCTGTCTAGTGCCTCCTTACACAGGTTCAAATCCTAACTTCATCATTTATTGTATCTTAGCTAAATATTCAGCCTCTTATTCCTGCATTTTTTTGTCTGTAGAAGGGGTATAACAACACTATCTATCTCACAGGGTTTTTGAGAGGATTAAACGAGCAAATACTAGGGCTGGCAGGTGGCATGGTGGTTGAGGTGCTGGACTCCCACATGGACAGCTATGGTTTGAGTCCTGGACTTGGTGCCTTGCTTTCTCACTCTCCCTTTCTATCTGTCTCTCTCTGGTCAAAATTGAAGAACAGGGAACGAGCAGTTAGTGTAATGGCTATGTCGCTGGACTCCCACGTAGTCGACCGCGGTTCGTGTCCCGGACCCGGTGGCTTAAAACTCACGCCGGACACGTGTGCGTGCGTGCCCAAGATCCCGAGAGGAGAATGGAGGAGAAGGGATTGCGACTTGACCATCCCCCCTGGGGGGTGATTTCTTGCTTTCTGTCTGTATGTCTCTCTCTGTCTGTCTGGCGAGCGCACGCGCCCTACAGTGAAAATCTCTCCAAAACAAAAAAAAAATTGAAGAACAATGATAATAAATAAAATTAAAAATAAATACATCTTTAAAAAATAATAATTGATTTTTAGAATTTTTCTTTCCCCCACCCCCATAGGGCACATGCATTCTCTGGAGAGACAGAGAGAGACAGAGAGACAGAAAGCAAGAAATCACTCTACAGGGGGTGGCCACACCACAATCTCTTCTCCTCTATTCTCCTTTCAGGATTTTGGACATTCACACCCCAGTTTGAATCCCAGACCTCACGGCTTGCTTTCTCACTTTCTCTCTCTTTTTCTCTCTCTCTCTCTTCCTCTCTGGTCAAATGAAAAAATAAATAAATAAATAAAGTTAAATAAAATAATTCTATAAAAAAAAGCTCAAAAAGGAACAAATACTATTTACTGAAGTATTTAGTATTTGCTAAAATATGTACTAAGTATTTAATAAAGTGCTTACTTAGACCTATACCAGAAATGTAAAAAAAAAAAAAAAAAAAAAAGCTCAAAAAGTTTGCTGTTGTTTTTGTTTACCATGACCACCCCCCTTTTCCCAGTCCCCAGTCCTCCAGCCTGCCAACTCTTGGTAATCTGTGTGAATGCCTTGTGTGTTTTAGGCCAGCCAGGCCAGGAGTTTGAACGACCTGGTTTCCCTTAAGCAGCACATGACTGCTGTGCCACAGAGCCAGTCCTGCTTCTGTTTATTGATATTAACCATCAGTGCCACAGGAAGCTGGTAGCTCCAAGCCCACATAAATTAGAGATATTTCCTGTGAGTAATAACAATAGCTGTGTTATGGGCCACCAGATGGCATGAAGATTAAGGCAGGCTTGGTCCCACGTGGCTCATTCTGCAGTTTGGGTCCCAGACCCAGTGACTTGAAAATCACTCCAGGCACCTGTGCCCAAATGCCCAAAAATCTCAGGAGGAGAATGGAAGAAAAAGGGTTACAGCCTGGCTATCCCCCCAGGGAGTGCTTTTCCACTTTCTCTGTCTCTCTGGCAAGTACCCTAAAATTAAAAACAAAAAACCCCACTAGGTACGTAAGTATGTATGCCCAAAATCCCAGGAGGAAAGTGGAAAAGAATGGTCTGTAGTGTAACCATCTTGCCTTGAAGCAGGCCAGGGTACACTTTTTTGGGGGGGAGGGGAGAAGTTTTCGCTATAGGGCATGTGCGCTCACCAGACAGACAGAGACAGAGAGACGGAAAGCGAGAAATCACCTCCCAGGGGGAATGGCCACGCCACAATCCCTTCTCCTCCATTCTCCTCTCGGGATCTTGGGCACGCATGCACACGCGCCCGGCGTGAGTTCTAAGCCACCGGGTCCGGGACTCGAACTGTGGTCGACTACGTGGGAGCCCAGCAACATAGCCATTACGCTAACTGCTGGTTCCCAGGCCAGGTTACATGTTTAGCAGGACTATAGCCATTTTAAATTAAGAAAGACCTCTGAGAAAACAATCTGACCAAGTGCTGAGTCATAAGGATATCTGTTTGAGGAATGGTCAGATAAGAAGCCAGAAATGGGTATTAAAAATAAAATAGGAAAAAAATAAATAAATAAATAAAATAGGAATCAGGATAATTACTCAGAGGAAAGTGATTGACTAGGATTGATTGTAGTGAGGAACAATTTGCACGTGCCTGTATCTTGTATCAATAAATACCGAGAACATGTTGAGCAAAACTTTTAGAGACAGTTTGATGCAGTTTGTTGACTGTCCCTATAACTGGTTATAGAAATAAACTTCCTGCCTCTCCAGCCTCTGCCTCTCACTTCATTGACAGAGAGAAGCAGCTGTACTTGGTTGGCCAGGAACATCCTGGGAGACGCTTTCTCTTTTTCTCCCTCCAGCTAGCACATGTGCCCTGAAGCAAGTTTAAATTTTTTTTTTAATTAAAATAAAAATAAAAACAATCATGTTAACAAAACTTATAAGAGATGATTGGTTTGTACTGAGCCCCTGCACTAGTCCCAACAGATGAAACCAAAATGGAGTTCCTCAGGCTAAAGTTCCATGTGGCCAAGCCAAAACTATTGGGTTGTCAGAAAAGTCCTGATGCAATTTTGCATAGAAAAATATCATGACTGTAAGCCGAAACTATTGGGTTGTCAGAAAAGTCCTGATGCAATTTTGCATAGAAAAATATGTCATGACCTTTCCGACAATCCAATATTTATCTGACTTTCTAAGAAATAAGGAGGGAACAATAATAGCTGAATCCTAAACAGGCTAGTCCTAGCTCAAGAGATAAGGAAGTCTCTTTTGCTTTAACCTTTGCAAGGAAAGTAACTTTGAAACAACCAGTTCCTTTTTTTGGCTTTTTATTTTCCCCATGAAAGTATGTATGCATGCACACATCAGCGGAGTGCCTGATTTCGAGTGCCGGATTCGCTGTGTGATCTCCTTACCTTGCCTGCCTGTTGTCCCCGGCTCTTCCATTCATCAGTATCTTGGCTGTACACTCACTCAGGTAGACTACGGGTCCAAACCTGAGGGCAGCCCTGTGGCTTCCAGCACTGCAGCCACTGCAGTTCAGTACTAACTGCACCACCAAGGCCCAATCTCTTTTCTGTTTGTTTTTCCCAAGCTTCTCTCTCTATAAAACCAGCAGTCTCCTCTGTCTGCTCAGAACACTTATTCTATTTTGTGGAATAAAGTGTTGCCAAATTCTAGAATTGCAAATTATGCCAGTTAAGATGTTTAAATCTGTTATAACTTTGGTTTTTGACAGTTGCTACCAAATAAGGGACACTTGGTACATGTCAGGCAATGAGCCTAGTACAAGCTTGCATTGTCTCCCTAAAAGTTTACAACAACCTCAACAGAGTCCCATTATTATCAACTCCATTTTATAACTGATAAGCACAGGGAGGTTAAGTATTTTCTCACTAACCAGCCATGTCCCAGGTATGTCACTCATTTATTTACCACCTACGGAGCTCTGGCGTGCCTGGGCAGGAAAGAAGCCGGTGGGTACAAAGGTTCACAGCCCAGGCCCCGACCTAGCAGCAGTTTCGGTTTCCAGCGAAGGGAAGGGGCGGGGCGGGGGTGGGAACGACGAATAAACGAATGGTTACAATACGGGGCGATAATTGTTGTAATCAAGGTCCATCCAGTGCCATAAGGGCTACAGGATGTCACTGGGACAAGAAATGTACTGAGAGCTTAAGGGGCCAAAGGAAAGCCACCGCAGTCGCGGAACAGGCAGAAGTCCTTTGACGAACGAGTTACAAACGTGCCCTGTAACGACGAACGTGTTACACCGAAAGATATGAAAAAGCAGGGTTGAAAAACAAAAACAAAGCGGAGGCTGCAGCCGCCAGTCAAAGGCCAGTCTGGCACGCCGGGCAGGGCCGGAAAGGGGTTAAGGCGAGCCGGTGGGCGGGGCCCGCGCGTTGATTGGCAGGGGTGGGACCAGGCCCGTCCCCCGCCCCCTCGCCCGCCCC